CCCGGGGCGGGGGACGGGCCCTGTTTGGGGGGGCTGGGTCCCGTCTGTGGGGGGTGGCTCGCACTGGAGGGGGTTTCATTCCCCCCCAGGGCGGGGGGGAGCCCCGCTGTGGGTAAGGGTGACCCCCCAGATGGAGCTAAGTCCCTGTTGGTGGGGTTGGGTCCCCTCTGTGGGCGGGGGTCGCCCCCCGGGGTGCAGGGGAGCCCTGGTTTGGGGGGTCAGGAGGGAGGGCAAGGCCTCAGGACGCCCGTGGAGGGGCAGGGTGGCTCCCGGCCGGGTCCCAGCAGGGCCAGCCCTCGGCCGGGGTTTGCTTCTCTGCAGCCCGAGCTGAGCTTCACCACCCATGGGCGATGGCAACGTCGTTTTTTTAAGTCATTGCCCAGTGGCCGGTCCTAAACTCCTGAAAACCTGCGGTCGGGATCCCTCCGTGTTACGGTTCCGTCAGCTGCAGGCCGATTCACGGACACAAGGTGTGTCGTGACTCTTAGGAGCCTTCTTCGGAAAGGCACTTTTTTTTTTTTTTTGTAGCAATTTAGTAATATTTTATAGTCCATCCCCAAATCAAGTCTTATCTGAATCTTATTTCAGCTTCAGACTAAACTCTTTATTGCTTGCATTAGCAAAACAGACAATATGCACAGAACAGAGTGAGTATAAGACATCTTCCTCCTTCTCTTGTGTCTTGATAGGATGAAGAGGGAGCTCCTCGGGAAGGTCCTGGAGTTACACAGTCCTAACAAAGCAGAAGTGGGAGAGAAAAACAAATTCCTGTGGTACTGCGCTTCACCCATTTTCATTTGGTTCCTATAACGAGCCATGAGTTATTGCCTTTTCTAACCTCCACCCCCCTCTGATACCTTACAAATCCATTTTGATAGCAAGACATGCATCAAAGTTAGTATCTAATAAAGTTTTGAGAAAAATCAGCAACTGGTTAGAGGAGAGAGATGTAAATAAACAGGAAAGGCTGCTGTACAAGCTTAACAGTTATTTGTTTTCTCTGGCCTGCTGGCTGGCCACTCAGTTCACATTGTCTGACCAAGCTGCCTGGAATTGTCTGTAGCACAGAGCTGCCTCTTATTTCCACCCTACGTTTATTCATGGCCAGTTCATCCCTTTTTCTTCTTGTGCCAACTTTTGCCATTAGCATAAACAGCTCTTTTCTCGCTCTGTTTTTTTTATAGATGGCGACTTTGTCTCTCTCAGCCTTCGTTTTCCTCAGCTAAGGATAGGATGGGCTCGCCCTTGCCTTGAGCTTCCTCGGGGCCCTCCCCTGCACCTTTTGCATCCCAGTGTCTTCTGTTTCTCTCTGAATGCCTTTCATAGCAGCGTACAATGCACAGAAAAAGTATTTCCTGTAAGCAGTCTGATGAACACCTCCTTTTCTCATTAAAAAGGGGAAAAGGATTTACTAACTTCCCTTCTCTAGACAGTAATTTTTTGAAATTTGTCTTTCCCTGTATCTTTGTTGTATCAGTGGTCTGAAGATAATTCTGCAGAACCAAACTCTGGCCAGAGCTCTTAACTCTCCAGTCAAATCCAGCTGAGCTGTGCCATGTAAACGCCCGGTGGTTATCTCAAGAAATCCTAAATTCACGGATTGAGCACTGCAGCAAGTACCTCTGGGGACAAGGGCTGGGAAAGGATCTGTAGGGATGCTTGTAACAACAGGAATAGGCAGAACAGTCACTCACGTTGGTCTGCAGAGATCAGTCGACAGCAGCCATGTCAGAAACTCCTGGTTCAAAACATCCTTCAAACCTTCTGAACCTTCCAGAGGAGTAAAACTGCAAGAAATGTGCCATTGCCATAAAGACAGAGGAGAGAGAACAAAGCAGATGCAGTGTGTAACAGCCTCGTATCCCAGTTCCCTCAGATTCACAGCGATATTTTATTTTGCTTGTCTTCTAAATATCCTTGACTCAGATAAACCCACAAAAAGCTCTAACCTCTTTTTGACATGGTGAGTTCTTTGCACACAACAGTGCCTTGATCTTGGCATGTGAACACGTCTGTCAGGCTTGGGGGACGAGAAGGAACGGTCCAGTGACCCCCTTGCACCCCACCTCCTCTTAGACCCAGCAGGCATCAAAACAAAGGCAGAGCGTGGGTGAAGCAGCATCTACGCTCCAAACTGACAAAGGGAAGTCTTTGTTTCCAAGGAGGACTTTCCCCTGCAAGTCGCATTTTTTATTTGCAATTAAGGAGATTAAGGGCGACACTAGAAAACAATTTTTTTTTAAATGAAGCTAGTCAAGCCGATTAATCTCTAGCATCAAAGGTTTCCCTCCCCCCTCCCCCCAGAACAGGTTAGACAAACATCTGTCAGGAACAGTTTAGGGCGCGTTGATCCTGCCTTGGAGCAGAGGTCAGACTAAATGACCTCTTGAGATCCCTCAAAGCCCTCGTTTCTTTGATTTTGTATTTTCCGTATGACTAGCAATCCTCAGTGTCTGATTTTCTGAGTGCTTGGCCTGAGACACCTCTGTGAACCAGAACTGTGCTCGTTTCCCTCACCCCAGGTCATCCCCCACACCCTGGTTCCTAAAGCAGTTTTCATGCAGAGGCTGTAAAAGACAGCAAATGCCCCCAGATTCTTGTTCTGGGTGACTGTCCCATGACTCCCTGTAGTTAGAAATTCCTTTTTTTGCCAGAAGACACTAGGATGGTGCCTGAAGGGCATGGGCTGTGTGCAGTAAGTGCCTTTTTTTCCTTCTTGCCACCATTTTAGGATGAAGCAGCAGCAACCTGTTAGGTTTTGCAAAAATCCCCTTCATGTTAAAGAAAGGAAATGTATCCCTCATTCATTTGGTGGGTTTTTTTTTTTTTTCTTAAATATAGAAAGTGCCTGAGAACAGATTTTTTCTTTGGACTCATTCGTCTAATTTGCTTTTTGAACATTTGTGACATAAGCCGAGATTGGGGGAGGTGAAACAGGCTATTGACAGGCTGTGGATATGCTGACACAGCACAAAGCCGCGCAGCGCTGAGATGCACAAGTGTGCTCTCAGCCAGATGGCTTGGGAAACGAAGGCACGAGCTGCAGCACCAGAGAGCTCCATATGGACTCTCTTACCTTGCCCAGAGGTACCTGTTCCGAGCGAGCTCGTATCGCCATCATTACCGTGATCGTGATGATTTTAAGATGATTACATCTTAAAAAAAAAAATCTGTGTGTCCCCAGTAAAGGGCACAGATCCGAAACAAACTGGGAAATTCCTCCTGGGTCAGGCAAGCATCTCTCCTGCGTGGTTTCACGTTTAGATGACAGGCTTTTCGTAATAAGAGCTTGTGGCAGTGATACGAGGAAAGAACTGTTTTGTTTCATTTTTAACAAATGAACTGGTCAGCATGCTGAGAGTGTGAACGAGTGGGTTCCCCCCCCATGGGCTGATTTGATCAAATCAAAATGTGTTGCAGAAATGTATCAATTTCATCTCGATTTTCACGGGAGAGTTTTCTTTTGAGAGGGCTTTGTTTTGATTAGGTCAAAGGACTTCGTTTTGACTTCTCTGTTTCGGAGATGTTGGGTTGTTCGAGGAGCGGATGCGCTTCAGCCCTGTCAAAAGCCCGTGCTTTGACCTTATCAAAGCGCTGGGTTTTGATGAGGTTGTGCTGACATTTGCAAAATCAAAAAAGACCCCACTCGTCTATATTTTTGAAACTTGTGTTTTGTGAGAAATTTCAAAATTAGAGAGGCTTTTTTTGTCTTTGTTCTTTTCCTCACTCGTGAGGCAGAATTGCAAAATATGAAATTTCCTTTTGAAATCCAAATCCTCTTGTTTTTCTGTGACACCGTTACCATCGATACCTGCCCCAAAACATTCCTTCGGAAGTTGAACACTTGGGGACCTCATCCCCTCCTGCAACCACACTTTCTATTCTCCGGTCTCACCTCTGATTTTTCTTGGCCTTGAGAAGCCAGGCGAAGAAGTCTTTGGCTTCCTGGGTGTCCAGGTCCAATTTTTGGCCATTCGCAGCTGATACTTGGGGCTCAGCTTCCCTCTTGTAGGGCTCGATGATGTTGCTGGAAAGGCGAAATGGGACGATATCAGCCCGAGGTGCCACAAGAGGGTGCCAAAATGCTGCTTTTCCACAAAACCCAGCTCCCTCCCACTCCATCTACCAGCAGCCAGAGAAGAAGGCGGACTTGGACAGGGAGAGGGATAGTTGTGCTGTGTGCCGACAGACCAGAAACGTTTCTAGGACTTAGAAAAATAAAGGAAAAAAAGAAAACCAGCTCCCTAGAGAATCACTGCTGCAGTCCAAGAAAAATATCCTCGGCTCTACATTCTTCTGTAGCCGTCAGCTGGCTGACGACAGCTGTGAGCTTGGATCGTAGGAGCACTGAAAGTCTACACACTTACTCGCTTTTCTTCTCCCGTCTGGCTAGCAACCATTCCACAAAGTTCTTCTTCAGCATGTTATCCATCGCGCGGCTGTAATCGCTTGCCAGGGTGGCCTCGGAGTAGCGTCTTTGCACTGGTCTGGCACTGGGAGCCCTTATGCTTACGCTGGGGTAAGAGCACAGCGACAGAGTGAGCCCTGCGCGGACCGGGAGCACACGCTGTGCAGAGTTTTGCTCGGGTTACACGTGGTGGCCCGCGCGGTCCCTACAGTCAGCAAGGTTTTGCCATCACTTTTAATCTCTCTTGGTCCAGGCACCTATTCCTGCATTGTAACACGAGGAGATGGCCAGAGAAGGGGCTAGCATGCTCCTCATCCATTTTGCTGGCTGCTAACACAATTGCAGCTGGGATTTGAGAACTCGGGAGGAGATAAGGTCGGGATATTTGCCGATAGTCTGGAATCAGCGTGGTTTTCCCTGCCATAGCCCGATTCACATGGACTTTGGCTCCGAGCTCAGGCACCAAGTGCGCTCAGGCTCCCTCCTCGTGAGCTGCACACCTAGGGCCTCTCCTGCGTCCTCGAGAGGCTGAGGGGTGGGTGGCAGGAGACAAGGGCCGACCTCGAGACCAGTGCTGATCTGACAGCATAGGCATAGTCGGTGGCTACCTAAATTAGCAAAGGATTTCAAGGCTGATCCTTTTTTAGTACTATTATCTGGGATTTCAGCAGCTCCTACTGCACTAATAAGGATTCTTTTGGATCTTCTCAGGTGGCTGTTGGAAATTTTGTAGCAGGACTCAGGGAAAAAGAGGGAAAGTCTTTATTAAATACCTGCTTTATGTAACTAGTCATATGTTCATAAGCTTCCGAACACTGGATGCCCCCTAGCCTCATGCATGGGAGATGATTACATCTTGTTTCTAGTTCTCAGCCAACCTGCTCTTCCTGGTTGACTTCCAGCTTGTTCCTCCTAACCCAGAGCCATGAATTTTTGGGGGAAAACTTGGGAGTTCCTGGCTCTGGCTCAAAGGCTCAGGGCTTTAGTTTGATACCTCTCTTATCATTTGCTCATCTCCGTATGCTTGGCTGTCTCTATTATCTGAGCTCTACCTCAGGAGTCATGTTCTCACCTACTTACCAAGATGCCAATGGAAAAAGTCCAGTTGCCTCCAGTGCGGAGCTGGAAAAGGCTCAAAATACACTGTGAACTTTCCGAAACACTTACCCCGAGACATTTTCTTCCATCAAAACAAAGCCCAGAGAAGCGAGGAGCAGAGAGAGAACCTTGAAAGACATCATTTTCTTGGCTGGTTTCTCGGTTTGAAAGCAGAGGGCAATCCAGATGTCCGGCCCCTGTAACACACGGGACACAGAAGTGACAGGACAGCGAACCCAGAGGGACGTGCGGTGGCTGGGCACGTGCCTGTGCTTGTAAATATGTTTCTTGAGTCCTTGTGCTTCGAGCAGCCTTCTCCGTCCTACAAAGCCCTCTTCTGCCGGTCCCAGTTAAATTACTTTTTCAATGCCAATGCTCTTTCCCACCGTGGCGTCTTTTAATGTTGGTTCCCTATACTTTTATTGTAACCATCAAATTCATTGTGGGGTGCGCATTCCTGGAGGCAAGGGCTTTGTCTTCCTCCATGTTTACAAGCTGACCCTGTGGGTACCTCATTGTGCTTTAAGGGTCGATTCAATCTTGAGTATGCGAACGGGAGCGTACGTTGGATCAGGCAATTCAGTAGCAACGGCATCCTGCCTATCCCACACCGCGGTTCTGCGGGATTTAGGAGCCTGATCTAATTTCTGGGAGATTTTATGTTGGGATGGATAATGCCTTTGTAGGGACTGGAGCCAGAGTCAGTGAATATCAGTTATGAAAAATATCCCATGGACAGTCACAGGATCGGCTTCCAAGATTTATTAGTTTCAAGCTGTTCCTAGTCCTCACGTCCACAGTTCAGCTCAATAGCCCTCGGACATTTGAGCTCTTTTAATTACTATTCCAGCTCTGCAAACTGCGTAGAAAAATGGTTTTGATCACGGCTCACAGATCTATTTTGTTGTCCCTCACCTCACTCTTTGTTACAGCTATTTCTGGAAATTGCATTGCAACGGAGAGCTGCTGTTAACAGGAATAATACAGGAACAAAAAGCAAAGGTCTTGATCAGGACTCAGGTATCCCATCCTTCAAAAATTTATTCATACATTGGTAGAAATTTACTCCTCTAAGTAGTTGTTTGTACATCAGCCCGATTATTGTTTTGCAGAGAGCGAGAACTTGCAAGTTTGGATATTGTTTGTAATTGTGGCATTTTTTATTTCTGGAAAATTGTGACATCTTTTACAAATGTTTTCAGCCCTTGCTATTAAGTGAGAAAAATACTAAATGCGTTACATGATCTCAGATACACCAAGCTGCAAGGAATGCTCTTAAGAGCAAAGGTGTAATATTCTGAACACTGGCAAAATCCCTAAAATACTTAGAGCTAAAGCAATAAAAGACAAATAGTTAGAGTGTGTTAACAGCAGAAGTAAATTCCATGATACAAAAAGCTGAGGAGTATTTTAAGTGAGAACGGAAAAAGAGTCATGATTAAATAACTGTGAGGTTTCCCCTCTTATTTGCTTTTCATTTCATATATTGGTGATATAACTGCGGGTACGATGATGGATCTGAAAACAGCTAAGTTGTGCAAGAATATTGTTCTGCTTAGGGTAATCATTTTTGATGCTAGGAGAGGAAATACCTCGTAGCCTGAATTTTAAGAAAGGGCAGTACTCCTTCTCTGCAGAATTTACCCAAACAGGGAAGAAAAGCAGTCCACGTTTTCAGAGACTGTTGGAAACCCATTTTTTAATCGATACAAGACCCCTTTGCCTGCGTGACACTGAACTGGAGCAGCCGAGCTCTGCTAGCCCTGCCTGGCACGGAGTTTGCTGCGATACCTGTGCGGTTTTGAGCCTATGATTTGACTCCTTCACAAGAGGAGGAGCAACTGGTGGGATCTTTGCAGCACGAAGGTTTCCCAGTCCCCTGTGCAGTACCGTCTGCTTTGGAAGAAGCATTATCCCTGTTTTATCCATAGCTGGAAGGTCCCAAAAAGCAACTAAGAACCAATTTCTCCTCATTTCCCTATGTAGGTGCAGATCCCAACCTGATATTTGCCATGTACAATAACAGCCTTTCCCTTTACAACCCAACACGTACGCTGCCACAGGTCTTTTCTGCCAAAGCTACTGAGAAAACGGCCAGGCTTGTACCACTTTGGGAAAAACTCAGCCGGAGGTAGGGGCTGCTCCTGCTCTGCTGCCGCTACTGCCTGACACCCTCAAACACTGCTCACTCCCCCTGTTACCTTAGGGGAAAAAAAAAAAGTTAAAAAAGTTGAAAAGAGAGACCGACGCAGAGCTTCTTACCTTTCTCCTTCTCTGAAGCTGCCCGGAGGATTTTGGCTAGTTCTGGTGCCGAGGAGACCCATTTATATACAGCAGCTGTGCAGGACCAAACCCACTTCCACGAGGTAAACAGGAAATCAAGCACCTAATCAAAGCAATTCAAACCCACTTAGAGCTGCTTCATTAGGTCCATTGACCTACAGAGCAGGAAAATAACCTTTTAAAATATGTTTACATTAATGGCAATTAAACATTACTGTATCACAAAATCGAGAATGACCACAGATTGTGGGCATAATACATATGGTATTGGTCTAAACTTTAATTCCACGTAGCACCTCCTTCCATGGTAAAAACCTCCTTCATTTCCATCTTTTCTTTTGCCAAGTGTAAGTGCTATCTTAGAGAGATCCAACCCGCTCCTTCTCTTTCTTACAGGAGGATAACTTTGCTAAAATCAATAGCTCCCGTCCTTGTTATTTTTGTCGCTATCAAGTCTGGGCATCCCAACTGTGGTCTGCAACCCCTTGTGCAAATCCCAAATACTGAAAGCAGCATCTGTTCCCCCAAAACGTGCACTCTAAGAGGAGAAAATGTGGGATGGAGAGTGGCCGACAGGAAGCCTGTGGGAAATGGTGAGGCAGCATTGGTTAACGAGATGGAGGGTGGGTGCACAGCAGCCTCCTCAATGGGGTGAGGGATAGCAGCTGGACCTGAGCACCCATTTGGGCTTTTTCTGTCCCGAGTGAGTGATGGAATGTTTCCCTGCAGCTCTGTAGCTGCTGGGGACATGGGTCAGTGAGGTCACCACCTCACCCTGCCCTTGCACAGCTGGATCCAGGGGCGCAGATGTTCTGCAGATGTTAATTGTGCCATCAGAGTACAGGGGGTAAATCCACTTCCCATCAGCTCTGCTGTGGCTGTGCCTGGTAAGATATTCCCTCTTCTCCCGGGTGTCTCACCTGCCCCGCTTCCCCCGAGCCTCTCTGGGAGAACTGGACCCATTACATTTTAACATGTAAATCCTGTTTAGGGATTGCTACCAGGTGTGTACCTGCTGCTCTAGGATCCCCGTCACACCCCGCTTCAATCTGTTGAAGGAGCAGAGCGGGATCATGTTTGTGCCAGCCTAACCCACGAGCTGAGCTCTGCTCACGTCGTTACCGACATGAAGCGGTGCCCGTGGCTGACTGTGCTGGCTTGCAGAGCGCGGTCCCGTCCGCAGCTCGGTTCCCCGGAGCAGCCTGAACTTTTGCAGGAGGTTATCCAAGTTACAGCCTTCCCCTCAGGTCTGCCAGCCTTTTTTATTTTTTGTGTGTGGAGTTCAGCAGAGCTGCTCGGAGCAGCAACCCCGCACACCTGGATGTAGGAGGGATGTGTGTGTGTGTGTATCCTCCCAGGTTTGTGCTGGCTCAGCTACATCGGGGATTTGTGTGGGAAAGAAGTAGGATTTCTGGTTGACAGGGCTGAGCAAGAAGCAGCCCTTAGTGGAATTGCAGTAATAATGGCAGAATTGAAGTGTCGGTGGTTTCGGGGTGGGAGAGGGTTTCGCTGTGCTGGCACGGTGCCCCCAGTCCATCCTGTCCCAAACACGTGCAGAAATCCAGCGTGATGAGGTACGTGTCTCCACGTAAAGGCTATCCGTTTTGCAGTTCCTTTCTAAAAAGTGGGTTTTTTTTTTTCTTTTCTGAGAAGTGCTGCTGGGACACGTTGTCAGATAGGGGCTGGTTTCAGTCGCTACCTGTATTCCTGCACCAGGAGAGCAGAGAGCGGAGAATGAACCGCGTCCAGCTTACCCCGCTGCTGGCAGAGGCGAGCTCTTGCTGCTCCGTACCTCTACAACTCCCTGGCACAACCAGCCTCTCCAGCAAAAAGTGTTGCATCTATATGGCATTAAGACAAAAGCTCAGAAGGACATTGTTAGGGTAGATTAAGAGTTCAGTGCTATTAGGGAGTAATTACTACTTTCACAGGAACTGCTTAACACGTGGCTCAGTCCTTTAGCTAGCAGCACACGAGCATGCCAGGGTCTCCAAAAGCTTTTCACCCATGCAGAAGCGTCATGCCTGCTGTAATAAATGATGCACTATAATAGTTACAAGTAACCAATTTACACTCCTAGCACAGTTGCTAATCAATAAAATGGCATAGTTTATCCTGGTGTCTTTATTATATGTATTCTGAGTACTTCACTCCCAGCCAACTCAGATATCTTGTTTCTCCAAAGTGCAACCTATTTGTTTTTCTCTCATTAAGTGCCTCTGTAGGATATAAAGTTAATAGAGTGAAATAAATATCCAGCAACATTAAATGTTGACCCAGGGTTCACAGTTACGGTTGTTTCAGGGCATCTGCTCATGATGCCGTTCGGACAGCGGCATCGCTCTCAAATGTCTCACGGTCTTTCAAAGAAAAAACCCCGGGTACGCAGCAGTTCTTTCCAAAGACAGGTGGGCACTGTCCGCCCTTCCTTCTGCCCGGGGGAGAGCCACCGATCGATGCCCAAAACGCTGGACCTCTGCGCGCCAGTGGGCAGCGCGGAGGCGGCGAGTGCCGCGCTGACCTAGCGAAGGGCCACGCGCCCACATCTGCTTTTGCCAGGGTAACAGAGAGTCTAATTACCGCTGCAAACCTTCCTCTTCTCTAGCCTCAGCCCATCGCAGCCGCAGCAGCGCTGCCCCTGTAGTCTTGTCTGCGGTCTGCTGCCTTCGCTGATAAGTCATTTCACAAGCTTCAGCTGGATCCCGGCTTGGGACAGAGGACACCTTAGCTGAGGTTTCACCCAGCCGCGGCATTTGTCTCCCTGCAAATTAAACAGGGCTTCATCCTGCCCTGCCACGCAGCGCTCGGTGGGCGAGCTCTCCTCTCCTCCGCAGCAGACCTGACTCGAGGAGCTGGT